GAGCTAACATCCATGCCAATCCTCCTCTTTTTGCTGAGGAAGACCGGCTCTGAGCTAACATCTATTGCCAATCCTCCTCCTTTTTTTGCCCCAAAGCCCCCGTAGATAGTTGTATGTCACAGTTGCACGTCCTTCTAGTTGCTGTATGTGGGACGCCACCTCAGCATGGCCGGAGAAGTGGTGCATCGGTGCGCGCCCAGGATCCGAACCCGGGCCGCCAGTAGAGGAGTGCGCGCACTTAACTGCTAAGCCACGGGGCTGGCCCCAAGTATTAGTTATTTTTTATGAGATTAGTGTTTTAGAGACTGGTGAGTGAGATTAGGAGGAAGATTCAAGGCTTAGAAAAGAAAGCTTTGACTAGGTAATATAGCAAAAATGCTGGGGTATAATAGCAAGAAATCTTCTTGATGTGATTTAATAGCAGACTCTCAGGAACAAATGGGCCTAAACTGTTAAGTACTATACTAATACATACTTTGCTATTCTACACTGCAATTATATAAAAGAACGGTTGAGTAATAATCAGCATTGTTGACAGTGGACCAGTTACAGACTTTTTTGATAAATGTCAAGATCTAAAAGAGGAAGAAATTGAGGCTAATGGTCTATGAGAAGACAGATCAGCTATACCAAGAAAGGGACACCCTTTTAGTTAAAACTTATAAATATTCATATGCTATGGATGATAATAGCCTTCAGTAGAGACCCTCCCAGAATTTACCCATCCTAAAGTGTCATTTGGAACAAACTTATTGATGATTATGGTTCCTCTCCTAGTAAGCAGCCAATCTAATATATGATCTACATAAAATAAATTGTAAAACCTAGATATTATATAATATAATGGTATGTTGAAATGTATTGTGATAAGTATAAACAGAAGGGTCAGCTCTATTCAGTGGAAAATTGGCTGGAAAGAACTTTTAGTTTTTCTCTTAAATTACCCTAGGACAAGGTAGACCCTAACTGGGTGTTAAAAATATGTTAGGTAATGAGGATGCATAGTTGAATAAAACATGGCTCTGGTCCTCAAGGAGCTTGAAATGTATTAAGAGAGATAAGTAAGTAAACAGACAACTACAATTCAATGTATAAAGAGCTATGACAGTGGTAAGAGCAGGATTCTATGGAATCACATAAAAGGAGCACCTAATACCAGAGGAAGGTGGGATCATTGCTTTCCGTGATATGAATCCTCGAGCACTTAGCATAGTGCTGAGCTTATGGTAGGCATTCAAATATTTGATGAACTGGAACATATCTGACTTTTTTTTTTTTTTAGGGCATGAACCTGAACTTAATTTTTGCTGAAAACAATGTCTTTAAACTTTATACACAAATGTTTTACTTTTTTGTGTGTGAGGAAGATTAGCCCTGAGCTACCATCCATTGCCAAGCCTCCTCCTTTTGCTGAGGAAGACTGGCCCTAGGCCAACATCCATGCCCATCTTCCTCTACTTTATATGGGATGCCGCCACAGCATGGCTTGATAAGCGGTGTGTCAGTCTGCGCCCGGGATCCAGGCCAGCGAACCTGGGCCGCCAAAGTGGAGTACGCGAACTTAACCGCTACACCACCAGGCTGGCCCCCAAAATGTTTTTTTTATGAATGCTTTTCATGTTGCTATAGCAACTTCAATGACCATATAAATCAATCAGTATCTACAGCTGACTCTTAAATGTAACTGGTAGTAGACAGGAAAGACTTTTTACTTTAGGAAGAGCCGCGTCCCTCAGAGCTGGACACGTAGTAAGTGTTCAAGAATAATAATTACTTAGTTTTTCAAAGCTTCAGAATTTATTCAATAATTTCTCTACCCCCACCACCAAACTCTTTAAAGGAATTTCTTATTCTTAATTATTAAGATTAATTGTGAATGATAAGAGAGAACATTAAAAGTATTCTTGTGCAATAATAAATACTATATCAATCAGTGGGAACTCAGAGCAAGTAAATTAAATTCATATCCTTAGCAAATCTGAAGAAAAAATGGCTTACAAACCTTATGTGGTATAATAAGGACACTTTACATATGATTGGAGTTAGAACTAATACATATGAAAAATTTGAGGTCAATGCTAAATTCTATGGTAGTGACTGTAAATACAACATGAGTTCATTGATTGATTCAATAAATATTATGCTCCAACTGTATGATGCACCCTACACTAGGCCCAGAGGTACAGAGATTAAAAAATATAGTCTGGAGAAAGAGACAGGAAAACACCATCATGGTACAGTGTGATTCAGTGCTACAATGGAAATAGATGCAAAGTACTGTTGGTGTACGAGAAAGAGTAGCTAATGGTGCAGAGAAAGGAAAAATTGGTATGGATTGGATTAGTCACATAGGCTTAATTTAAAAAAGAAAAAAGGCAACGTGATATCAATTGTGACTGTGTCTTATTTGTTACTTGATATGTTTTTTAGGAACTTTCTTTTTCTATTTTGTGAAATGAGATTGTAAATCCCCAAAGGCTATTTATAAGTCATGTATTAGTTGAGCACGCCAAGAGCTCCCATTACTTGTTATACTGTAGTGTACTAATTATAAACTATATTCGGAGCCAAGTGGATTTAACTCAGTGAGCAAATAAGATATCTACTTGGTCTATTATTTATTATGTTGTGCAGATCTAACTAGGGGGAATAATTAACATGCTTTAAACATACAGATTATAAAATTTCTCTTAAATATTAACTAGTTTTGATCAATTTAACCGTCTTCTTTCTTTTGTTTTTCTTGTTAAGGGTCTACTGTATTTGTTGGTAACAGACCAGGGGTTTCTCACTGAAGAAAAAGTTGTTTGGGAAAGCCTACACAATGTCGATGGCGATGGAAATTTCTGTGACTCAGAATTTCATCTGAGGCCTCCTTCAGATCCTGAAACTGTATATAGAGGGCAACAAGATCAGATAGATCAGGTAAATTTGTTTTGTCTTCTTCATATTGTTTAAGGAGCCCCTTCCTTTCAAATATGAATTCAGTTATCCAAAACTTTTGAACTAAAGATTTATTCACTGGGGCCGGCCCTGTGGCATAGCGGTTAAGTTCGGGCACTCCGCTTCAGCAGCCTGGGGTTTGCAGGTTTGGATCCTGGGCGCGCACTGATGTGCCGCTCGTCAAGCCATGCTGTGGCGGCGTCCCATATAAAGTAGAGGAACATGGGCACGAATGTTAGCCCAGGGCTGATCTTCCTCACACACACACAAAAAAGATTTATTCATTAATATACTTAATTTTATTAAATTTTAATTTATTTTAATTTTCCTGACACTTCTTAAATATGTAAGTGATCTCTTTATATGTACATTAATTATACACTTTGGTTCGGATGGCTGGGTCATATTTAACTATGAAGAGCATGGTAAAGTGTTTGAATTTTATTCTAATTATAGTAGGGAAGATATGCCAAGTGTCAAACATCAAAGTGACATGATCTACTTTACCTTTTTAAAAGGCGGCTATGTGAAGAATGCACAGGAAGGACACAGGTATAAGCAGAGATTAGCAATCCAAGCAAGAGGTGATGATGTCTTAGCCTTGAGTAGTAGAGATGAAGAGACGAGTACATATTGGAAATCTATTTTGGCTAGTCAGAAAAAGTGGAAAAGAGGGAGTCTTGAAGATGCATGCACTGGGTAAAGAGTAGGTTGGTGTTCTAAAGCTTTAGAGTCCAAGGTAAGGAGGCGCTTACAGCAGGAGCTGCTCTGGTGAGTAGAATTCTCATTTAGAACTGAGACAGATGAGATTTTTCTTGCTATAGGTGGGCAGGCTGGGAGCCATAAGTGTGTTTATTACTAGAAGTATAACAGTGATGTGACTTCTTCCCTGACTGAGGTAGAAATATGGTTATTTTAAACAGTTGGCACGTTTCGCTGATAACAATTTAAGTGCATAGAGACTGTGTTCATTTAGCCAATATTCACTGAGCAGTTGTATTCCTGGCACTATAACTAGGTCTTGGGGACACAAAGATAAATCTTTTAGTCCCGTCCTCAAACATTCTGCAGTCTAGCAGGGGAGGCAGATAATTGACCAAATAATATTAATGTTAAGTTTTATAGTGGTTATTTGAATAGCAAGCTGTGAGTGCACAGAATACTTGATTCAAACAAATGCTAATCTTTCTAGGACTCTTGGCTTTCCTTTGACAAACAGCCATAATAAAATCAACATACTTATTTTCCTTCAGCATCAGGAGCATTGTTTTTTAAATATTACTTAGAGAAATGTGCAGGATTTTTCTAACCACTATATGTAAAAAATATTGGAGCAGAGGGAATAAAGGTAAAGCAGTTGGTTGCCACAGTAGTCCAGTTGTAAGGTGTTAAGATTATATACACATGATAGTGTCTGTGGAAGTAGCAAGGAGGGAGTGGATTTAAGACTGTGAGACTTGGCAAAGAGCAGAGTTTGAAGAATTGAGAAAAATTTGAAGGACAAATTCTTGATAAGATTCTTGGTAAGATAGTCATGCTAGGGCCAGCCCCGTGGCTTGGTGGTTAAGTGAGCGCGCTCCACTGCTGGCG